AAAATGTAATTTAATAAAAAAATTAAGTTTTTTTTAAATTTATCAGGTGGTCCTAAACTTTTGGCCAGGGAGTGTATGTCTCTGTGAAATTTCGCGTCAAACGGTCGAGTCTTTAATATGACATATCGTGATTTACATATATAAGCTATTGTATACGTAATATAAATAGTTTGTGCAATCACAGTCACATTGATCACGCGTTGATCACTTTTAATTAGAGTCAATCAAGAAGAAACTCTGTCATGCTACGGCAAAAATATTCCTTTTTCAAAATTTTCTTACTAAATGTCTGGCTACTTCAAAGCGCAAGATCCAAGCACTTTTTCATTTTTACGATATCTAACATTCAGATATAGCAAAGAAGGAACACTAAAAGCAAACAAAAAGGAAGAATGGGCTGATTTTGTCATTGGGTTAAAATTGTTCTTGACAGAAAGCAATGATGATTCTTTAAAAATATATTGGGAGGAAGAGCTAAGAGATGGAAATGTATATTTGTTGAATTATAAATCCTTTATGTTCTTTTAGACGGCTTATTAAAGAGAATTGTCTTATTTGGCTCACTTTGTATTCCTTGTATGGCTAAGATTTCTATAAGAATAGTCTACCAGTAAAAGCTTTCTTGCTTTGTTTATGCCTCTTTCGCTTGCTTTGCTTGGGTCTCTTTGAGCTCCTTGTGCAGCTTGCTTGAGTCATTTATGCAGCTTGAACATCTTTTAAAGCCAGATTTTTTTTAAAAAAAAAGTTTTTTTTAATATCAATATATAGGTCTATCGTGATTCAGAAGATGTATTATGCTTATAGAGAGGAGAGGAATAAAATCAGAAGCAGGTGGGATTTTATTTTTCAATTTATATTCAAGCCTTCTAAGAGATTTGATTGAAAATGAAATTGGAAGTAAATATTCTTATTAGCTGCTTTCAGCTGCATTTCTTATTACTTCCTTTTATGAGTTCTAAGAATGTTCATTGACTGAAATTGACTATCTGTTTAGTTTCACAGTAGCAAAACTTGAGTTTGACACCATCTCGATTGTCTACATCTTCTCGATCTGTATCTTATCGGAAAAAAATTCGAGAAAACGAAAAAAAGGAGCATGAATTGTGAAACAAGGTTTTTGAAAAGTACAATGAATTGGTGGTATGTGCAATTATATCTATGATATTCATTTTTTATCTTATAAAAAGATCATATCTAAGTTAAATATTCTTATATTGGTAGGAATTTTGGAGGACATATGGAAGGTTAAGGTTCAATATGGTGAACAATGTATTGAAGTCAATATAGTAGAGAAAATATATCAAAATTTAAATAGAGAAAAACTAGATAATTTAGCATTCAATAACCCTTTTCTGTCTTGTATAATTGATCTTGACAATATACATTCAATTTTACGTGAAATTTTCAATGATAGAGAATTAAGAGCAATGCATAAATGTGAAAAGGTGAAGAAATGGAAATACACAAGACCTGAATTTGAAGCATGGGTTAAAGACCTGGTAATATCAAATGATGTGAATTTCTTACAAGCATCACCTCCATTTGATTTAACAGACATAGAAAAGTTAGAATATAAATATATTTTGAAAATGTTTCAACATTTATAAGTATCTATTACATCAGAAATTTTTGTTGTAAAATTGCATTTCGTGTAATATATAGCAATATTACAAATTCTTATCCAATTTTATATAGGGGCTTGCAAGCCTGTGTCCTAATGTAATTATATATGATTTGTCAGAAAAAACCAGTACTAATCAATATCCTTATATTGTTTATTTAGAAAAGTACTTTGGAATCGAAGAAGATATGAAGAAATGTCTAAAGGTGGAAAAAATATATTAGAAGACACATACGTTCACGAAGTAGTGCATGAAATTATATATGAAACTATTCAAGGACTCAGTGATCAAATACAACTTGACTGGTAATTTTACTTTTCTGCTTTAAATTCATTTATTTTACATTATTTTATTAATGACTTGAAAATAAATTTAGGTCTACAAAAACGGTTGAAGATGGAAACAATAATGTTAATTGTGATTATGATAGTTGGTATTTGCGGTTATCTGGAGTGAAAAGGCAGAATTACATCTGAATTTATTTTACTAAAAAAAAATAATAATTAGTTTATAAAATAAAAAATTTTTTTAGTAACTTTCTCCTTTTTTATTACAAAATGTCTATATATTATATTATAGTATTTTTTATTTTTTAATTATATAATAAAATAATCTAAAATTATTTATAAGCTAAAAATTTGTAATTTTTAAAAAATTTTATTATTAACCTTTAACAATTTTATTATTATAAAGAATAACTTTA